CCTTTATAACTCCCTTCCCTCATGTGCTGTGATGTTTTTTGTGTTTTGATGTGGTTTTTTTCCCCCCAGACCCATCACATTTGGGCTGGCTGTGTGTATGTGGAGTGTGTTTTTCTTTTTTTCCCAGCCCCATCGCGTCCAGGCTGGCTGTGTGTGTGTGTGTGTGTGGGGGGGGGTGTTTTTGTGGGTTTTTTCCCCAGCCCCATGACATTCCGCTGGGGCTGGCTGTGTGTGTGGGAGGGGGGTTGTGTTTTTTCCCACAGCCCATCGCATTCCACTGGGGCTGGCTGTGGGAGGGGTGTTTTTGAGTGTTTTTTTCCAGCCCCACAGCATTCCGCTGGGGCTGGCTGTGTGTGTGGGGGGGGTTGAGTGTTTTTCCCCAGCCCCATAGCATTCCGCTGGGGCTGGCTGTGTTTGTTTGTTTTGATGTGTTTGTTTTTTGGCCCCAGCACATTCCTATGGGGCTTCCAGTGTTTATTTTTATCTTAGCTTAAAAATTGAATTTCCTTTTTTCCTCTTTCAGTCTGCATTTGGTCCTGCCATTAGGCAGAAGGGGATGGGTAATTCAGAAGCCATATACTGGGGAATGGAAAGGAATAGTGGAATATTGGATGGTAGAGCTCTTTGTGGTACATGGCGGGTCCTACATACAGCTAAACTACATCAGAACCTGAAGACAGAATTCTACTCACACTGAAGCAAAACTGCTCCCTTTCAGTCTTTGGTGCTGCACATGTTCTTTTCAACTACCGGGTGACAATAACAATGTATTTTGAAATATGTTGTGTTCTGCCTACATGGAAGAAACAAATATAAAATAGGCTTTGTTCTGTTCTACTAGATACCAAAAATACTGAAAAATATAGATGAGCTTTAAATTTTTTCATTTACAAATACATTTCATTGATTTGATCACATATGCTGCAAGCAGAATTTGTTGCAATTAAAGCTAAGGCCATTGCACTTAGTCTTCACTTTGAGCATATATTTAATATCAACAGCATAATTATGAGTGGCAGGCTCTGTATTTAGAACTGCTTTTATTCATTTGATACAATGGTCAGCTATGTCCTCTTTCAGCTATGAATCACACTCTTGATTCATATGATTAATATATTATGGCTCACATATCTCTTCATATTTACTAGGTATCTTATTTTAGAAATATTTCTGTGGGCAATGGAAACATTTGATCACAAATGCACATCAGAAAATAAGCAACATCTCATCATGTAGCTTCTCTTTAATTGTAAATATTAAAGCTGGAAATTCAGAATTATTCCAAACTTCACAATTCTCACAAGTTTCTCAAACAAAATTGATTGGGCCAGATTTTGATTCATTTTAGGTCAGAAAATAAGAAGCCCTAAGCCAGGATATGGGAAGCTTTAAAATTAGGTATTTTATTAGAGGATTTTGAGACTATTGTATACTATGATAGCAATATTATGATAGTAGCCAACATTGTATGCTAAAATATACACATGATTGGTTCAAATGCTTAAAAAATGTACAGATTTTGAAGGGACAATTAAGAAGACACCAAGATGCAAAAACAAATAATTATAAGCAACCCATGTAACACGATGTTTAACAAGCACAAACTGAATGTAGATATATCAAAAACTAAAATGTTAATTGAAAAAAAAAACAACCGTGTGAAAGAAGTTAGGGAAAGAGAGGAGGTGACTGGCTCAAGGACAAAGAGTGAGTTTGATGACACAGTGAGGCATTGAAATTAATTCTCCCAAGTTCAGCACTATTCTGCCTCTCTTCGAACTTCTCCACTCTGCCATCCATCACTGCCTGATTCAATCAACCCTCCTATCACAACCCCCTTCTTTTAATCAATTCTCCACTCCCACAGATTCCCTTTAGCAGAACAAACAGTGTGGGGAGATGGTGATTCTTTCTATACAGGTAGCACTTACCTGTACTGAGTAGTGCAGGGCTGAAGTAGCTGGGTGCAAGGAAAGATTCTGAAAGGGTTTGATGTGTGGTTTCCCCCAACCTTTCTCCTTGCTCCATTCCACTGTGAGCATGTGGTCAGTGAAAGTTTTGCCAAAGACCAAGTTCGCAGGGTCTGGTTTGGACTTCAGGTCCTTGGTCAATTCCACCTGGAGGTCCGAGGCCTGGAAAGGAATCCAAAGACCATTATGTTCTTGTGTCCACGAACCAAGCTTACAGCAGGACTGGAAACTTGCTTCCCACCCACCTTAATTTCAAATTAAAAGCTGACAGTCCCAACAGATGTGGATGACGTTCCAACCCGCATCTCCCTAACTTGAAGATGATGCCCTAATTCGGGAGTTCTTGATAAGTGAATTTTCCCCCACCTTGAATGTAGTGCTTAAAAATCTCTGATGACCAAGAAGTGACGCTAGAACATTGCATGACCTTCCTCTCAAAATCTGGAAGAAACACAAAAAGAAATCAAGAATTAGTATCAAAAGCAATTTTGCAGCTCTTGATGTACCGAGTCCTGCGTCTTAAAGATTTTTTAAATTAATATACGCTCCCTGACACCCTCCAGATGTGTTTGATTTCAGATCCTATCATCCTCAGCCTGGGTGGGATGGAAGTTGTAGAACCAAGATGCCAAGCACTGAAAATAGGTCTAGAGCCAGTGGTGGGAGCCAGCAGGGGGCAGGTGACAGAGTGATGGACTAGGACTCAGGAGACCTGTGGTCACAGAAACTCACTGTGGGGTTTCACTTGTAAAACTAATCCCTAAGTATCTCTTGAAAACCCAATTAGGGTGGCTAAAAGCTGGATGCAACTTAACAATACATAACACACAGGTCTTGAGCAAAAATGAACATGTGGTCTCCCTGTACTCCCCCCATGTTAATTTAGAAAGTCCCTTTATACATTCTAATGTATGTGGGAGGTAAAAAA